AGTTCCAGGACAGTCAAAGAACACAGTGAGACACTATCTTGAAAACAACAAACAAAAAAGTCAAGAGGCAACAAACGTTGTGGAGGATCTGAAGAAAAGAAAAACCCTTATCTCCTGCAAACTGGGATAGCTATTAGAAGTCAGTGAGGAAGTTTAGAGCATCACATGACCCAGCTAAACTACTCCTGGGCATATCCCTAAAGTGGTCCATTGCCTACTACAAAGATGCTTTTCCATCCATGTTCAGGGTTGCACTGCTGACAATGACGAGGAGTGGAGTCACCATAGATGTCCACCAACGGATGAACGGATAATGAAAATGTGGTTCACACAATGGAATTTTATTCAGCTATAACGAAATTAAAATTTACAAAACTACTCTTAGTTTTCACAGTACCACTATGTAGAGCAGAGGGGGATGGGACGTAAAATTCATCAACACATTTCTCTAGCAGTGAACCCTGCATGCTTGAATACCAACGAGACATGCCTACCAATGAAATGATGGTATGACCAACTATCTTCAGATCTGCTCCTACATGTGGGAATTCGTACCTTGTATTTTAACCCTGATCAAAAGCACATGGCAAGGGAGAACACAATCCCTAGATAGGAAATCTGCTGCGGGACAATGATCTTTTATCCTGTCACTTGTATTATTTTTAATAAAATACTGATTGGTCAGTAGTCAGGCAGAAAATAGACGCGGGGGTGACCAGGCAGGAAGTAGAGGCAGGGCAACAAGAATTCTGGGAAGAGGAAAGTTTCAGTCTGCAGATGTCACCCACAGAGGAAGCCAGACACAGAGCAAGCAAGATGTGACTGCCTCACCGAAAAAGGCACCAAGCCACGTGGCTAACACAGACAAGTATTATGAGCTAATATAAGCTATAAGAGTTAATAAAAAGCCTGAGCTAATAGGCCAATCAGTTTTTAATTAATGCAGACCTCTGTGTATTTCTTACGATTGTGGGACTGGGTAGGACAGAAAGTACGGTCAACAGAAACCTATAATTTGTCGATTTGCAAAATAGACACATTGTCAAACTAGCTTCTAAATATTTATATTTATACCTATAGCTTACTGTTACTCTCAACCTTATAAGAAAAGCTTCTTTTTTTTTTTGCAGTATTTAGCAGTTATGCAGACTCATAACTGGTTAATGTGCTGATGAGAATGCTCAGTCCTAAATGGGACATGCATATCAACCTCGCATGTAAGGCTCAAATAATATCAAAGAAATATGACTCAAAAATTAAGAGCACCTGTTGCTTTTACAGAGTGTTGAAAGCAGAGCATGAAGGTCCTTGTGCCCACAAATCTCCAGAGAAACCAAGAACATGAAGCAATACCGGATGTCTCTCCAGTGGGAAAGACGTAAGACACATGTTCTTCCAATGAGAAAGACAGGAACTGGAAGTGATTAATAACTTGATGATCTGCATTATCTGTTGACCTAGACAGTATCAAGCTCCCACAGTCAGGACCTAATACCTAATAGTCTAAATGGCCCTAACATTATCTGTATAGTTAGAAGCTCCCACAACCAGGACCTGAGGTGGTTAACAGCCCAAATGACCTCTACACTATCTGCTTGACCAAGACCAGGTCAGACCCTTCCTTAGGCCCTTCAGCTAGTATAGACTGCCTATCTCTAGACCCCCATCTTCACTGAAGAAATTACACGTACTCTGAGTTGGGTTTTGTTGTAATTACGCTTCCGTTTCCCACTGGAAACTTTACAGCAGGAAACTTTTTTCCAAATTATGCTGTGTTTAAATTTGTTGGGAACAACTCACCTGGGATCAGACTCCAAGTCTTGATCCAAGTTGATGAAGTCAATCTCAACAGTTTTCATTCTCACCTCTTGCCATTTACTTCCCTGCCTGTTGTGTCTACCTACAGGGTCCTCCTCAGCAGAGGACCCAAGTTGGATTCCAATACTTACATGGTAACTCAAAATCACCCATAATTCCCATTCTAGAAATCTGACACCATCTCCTTTAAGTTCAAAGCCAGCCAGGTCTACGTATCAAGCTCTCGGCCAATGAGGTCTACATAATGAAACTTTGCTTTAAAAAAAAAAAAAAAAAAGCAAGGGGTGGGGGACAAAAAAACTATCAGGTAAACAACTTTTATTTTAATGGTGCCCATGTATGTAGACTCCTCTTTATCAATGCTTCCAGATAATATTACTTGGATTAGCTTCTTGAGTGTTAGTTAGTATCTTAAACTTTCCTAAGCTTCCACAGTCCATAGATCAGAAAAATTTCGTATCAAAAAACCCCTAACAGAGTTGTAGCTGTAGTTCCACAGTAGAGTGCTTGTTGCTAGAGTCTCTACATTCAATGCCAATACTGCCCACTCATCCCATAAAATTAAACCACACAAACACACACAAAACAAACAAAACCCCAGTTAACACAAACTATATAGCCCCACACCTCAAATCAAGCACCACCCCCAATTTCCTCTTAAACAAATTTTTAAATAACTTTTACATTGGTGTGTGTAATACTTTAACTAATATCCCCCTCAAACATGGCTAAGTTAAAAGTGTGTGTCTATCCAGGACAGTCAGCTGCTGCTACACAGAGAAACTCTGGCTAGAAAAACAAAAACAAAACAAAAAACTATGTATCTATAAGCCAGATGGTAGTGGTGCATACCTTAATCCTAGCAATTGGGAGGCAGAGGCAGGTGGATCTCTTGAGTTCAAAGCCAACCTGGTCTATAGAATAAGTTCCTGGACAGCCAGGGCTACACAGAGAAAACCTACGTCAAAACACAAAAACAACAACATTAAACAAGCAAAACAAAAAAACAAAACAAAAAGAGTAAAGAAAAGAAAGAGGTGTGTAGTGTCTAAGGTTAAGGCAGAGTGGGAAAAGAAGAACCACTGAAGCAAAGAAACCACTTAGTTAAAATTAAGATTATCTTTTCAAGAACCATGGGCAGAAAACAATCCAGTCTGCACTGGAAGCCCAACAGGGAGAAGGAAAGGCTGGGAAGTGAGAGGGAGGAGGTGCAGTCTGAAGACAGCAGTCAGAGAGCGCCCCTCCACGAAGCACACTTTAAGCAGCACCTTGCTCTCCCTCAGAGTTTTTTCCACTGGGCCAGTGGAGAGAATAATTGTTTTATTTTTTGCCTTAAATGGGTAGAAGAGATTAGGAAAAATGGATATAGGACTCTACACTGCCTCTCTGATTTTGGAGACAGCAAATTATGTAGCACAGGCTGGTAAACATGAGCTCCTTATCCTCCTGCCTCATATCTTCAGAAATGCTGGGGTCACAGGATGAGACAACACAAACTCAGTGGAATTGACTCTTTAGAATCTCAACATATTTCAGAGACAATCTCAAAATTAACAGTCTATTACATTTCTCATTTTAAAGGAACCCACCACTAACAATAATAAGCATATATATATCATATACATACACATATAAAGCTCATAAAAAAATAATCGATGAAAATACACAGGAATATCCAAACCTAGAGTAGAGTTGTGGAGTCCAGCTGTAGAATGCTTGACAAGCGTGCACAAGGCCCTGGATCTGATCACTACTAGCCCCACTACCATCCACCAATGAGAATAAAAACTAACCAGACTGTGGTAGTGCACACCCATAATCTCAGCACTTGGGAGGCAGAGGCAGGCAGATCCCTGTGAGTTCAAGGCCAGCCTGGTCTACAGAGCGAGTTCAAGGACAGGCTCCAAAGCTACAGAGAAACCCTGTCTCAAAAAACAAAAACAAACAAAACAAAAAAACCCAAGAGATTAAAAACTTGAGAGCAGGAAACTTAGTAGGATAGTTAACCATGTGTAGAGCTCCAAGTGTGGGAAAGTCTGGCAATAGTCCAGAAGGAAAAAGAAAAACAAAACCTGCAAATCCAGTACTCTTAGGGCATGGAGACAGGAAGATTACCAAGCCTTCCTGGCTGCCAACATGAAAAATATGAGCTCCAGGTTCAGGAGATTCATAAACAGAGGAAACCTGATGGCATTCTCTAGCTTCTGCACATGCGCACACAGGTGTAAGCACCTGCATATAACACACACACACACCCAGGGAGGTCAGAACAGAGTATTAAATCCTCTGGTGCTATAGCACAGATGGTTCTGAGACAGTGGATGTGGGTGCAAGGAATAATGCGCTCTTAACAGCAGAGCTAGCTTTCCAGCCCTAAAAGTTGTTTGTTTTTTTTTTCTGGGTTGAGCTAGCCTGCTACCATTTAAACTAAGGAAAGTGTTCCCAGTCTCACAAAACTAAAATTAAAAGAACAAGTATAGTAAGAAAAAAGGCGAATCTTTATCATTTTTTTGAACCTACCTATAAAAATTCCAAAGACAAGTATACCTTGGAGAAGTGGTCACCCCAAGATGGTATCAACTTAAAAAACAGTATCAGTTAGCAGATGAGCAGGAAAAAAAAAAAATGAAATACCTTACTTTTGCTCTATATTAATCCCACATTTTATTCTAGGTACCTGTTTTCTCTTTAATTCTCATAACACCCGTATCAGAATAGTTAAAGCATGTTTTAACATTACTACAGACCAGCCGGGCCTTTAATCCCAGCACTAGGGAGGAAGAGACAGGCGGATCTCTGTGAGTTCGAGACCAGCCTGGTCTACAGAGCTAGTTCCAGGACAGGCTCCAAAGCCACAGAGAAACCCTGTCTCGAAAAACCAAAAAAAAAAAAAACAAAAAAAAAACAAAAAAACAAAAAAACAAAAAACATTACTACAGACCACAGGCTGTGTTTTAGTAGTCTGGATATAAGCTATGAAACAAAGTACAGGACAAAATTATTTTGTCAACAGTTCATACGATATAATCTATAGTGAGATGGTGATACTCAAGGGACTTATAGAAATGAAGTGCTAAAGAGGCAGCTTCACAAAGTAACTTTATGAGAGTCATTTCCAATATGTACAGCTTCCCAGGCTGTTCTAATGTTTTAGAAACAGCAGTTACAGGAACATATGTTACCTTTCTAGAGATGGAAGAGACATTCAAACCAAATCTTTGTGCTCTTTCCTTTAGTTTATCCAGGTTAACCTACAAAAATAGAGATACATTAAAAAAGAAAAGAAAAAGGAGAAGGCAGAAACTATGTTCCAAGACTGAGTTCAAATAGGGCTACTGATATCAAACATACCCTATGTGCCAAACTCAGGACCACGTGACACCTACTCATCCCAGTGATAACTAAAAAGCCCTCCTGAAAGGAGGTGAAAGTGAAGGATTCCATTCTAACACTTTATTCATCAGTGGTGGCAAGGACATAAGAGGGCTCAAGACCAAAGTAGGTCAAACACTGCTTGAAAAAACTACCATATAGCCAGGCAGTGGTGGTGCATGGCTTTAGTCCCAGCACTCAGGAGGCAGAGGGGCGGATCTCTGTGAGTTCGAGGCCAGCCTGGTCTAGAAGAGCTAATTCCAGGACACGCTCTAAAACTACAGCAAAGCCCTGTCTCAGGGAAAAAAAAAAAAAAAACAACAAAAAACCAAAAAACTATCAATATATATAAAGTATCCAAAAACAAGACCACCACTCACAATCCAAATTCATGAATTCCTACAACACAAACCCCCAAAATAATTTAATTGGTTTTAGTTTTTTGAGAAAGCCTCTCTCACTATGAACCCCAAGAAAGCCTTTAACTCACTATATAGTCCAGCATGACTTTAAACTTGCAACAGTCCTCCTGCCTCAGCTTTCTGAATGCTGAGATTATAAGCATGTACTATCACAAGCTAAATTGATTCCTAATTGAATCTTCAAACAAAGACACGCTGTGGGAGCTCCGTTAGCCAATAGCTCAGCTTGCGACCCATAAGCTGCAGCTTGGCATGTTACACAGGCGCAAATGCTTCAGCCTGTGATCCCCAAGCGCAACTGACGAAAGACTTTGGGTTTTCTCTTTATCCTGGGCTCCAACTCTCAAAATCGTTTGATCACCTTAATAATTGCTCTTAATTTGTTAAACGAAGCATATTTTTCAATACCTAAGTAAGCACAGTGCTGCTAGCATCTCTCAACCATTTGGTTGCAACTGCAACACCTGATGGCCGGTAACAATTACACCTACCCCAACTCATTATAATTGCTTTAGGACAGGTAAGATTTTAAAAAACTACAATAATGACTGATAACATAACTATCCAGAACTCCAATAATTATTTTGCTTATACTACAGATGGTATTCTACAAAGCTTATGTGATTTTCTTTCTACATCCATTTATTTGATTCTAGAAATTAGTTTTGTTTTTCATATTATCTCATTAAAAATGGTTTGGTAATAGAGCCAAAAATGAAGCATGAGGCACTTTTAAAAATAACACAGTCCTTATAGACTAATAATGGACACCTAGACGAGAAGATCAATACGACAGAGAGGAATAGCAATAATTTGACAAAATCATCAATAACAATTTCTGCTGTTAAATTTAACAATCAAAATCTGTTAAAAAGTTATGATAGAGAGGCTGGAGAGATGGCTCAATGGTGAAGAGCACTGGCTGCTCTTCCAGAGGTTCTGTGTTCAATTCCCAGCAACCATATGGTGGCTCACAGCCATCCATGAGATCTGGTGTCCTCTTCTGACATGCAGGCAAAATACTGTATACATAATAAATAAATAAATAAATCTTTAAAAAAAGTTATGATTGATTAATGGATAAGTTATCTCTCCAGGAAGGTAATATGCACACTATCAAAACTATGTCTAAGGATAAGACATTTTCTTTACTGGACAAGTTTCATACCTTAAAATCCTAAATGAGGACATTAGAACATAACACTGGACTATAAGACAACATCTCCTCTCCCAACAAAATTTGTCCTCACAGTTAGGGATACCATTTAGGGGTTGATTATTACTCATATAGGGTTGGGATGGAAATTATGTAGGCCCAGAGATCTCAAAAACAAGAAGAAAAAAAGAAAAAACTGAATGGGATAATAGGTAGATTAGTGTCAACTTACACTATAATAATAATAATAATGATAATAATAATAATAGTGAGTAATAGAGTAAATACTTGTGAGTTATTCTTTATGGACAATTTACATTGGTATAGATTTTTGGTATAGAGTTCAAATTATATTTGTTATATTGAATATGCTCCTATTTCTGTTTATATGTGTACATCTATATAAAGTTATTTTGTCAGATTGCATGCATGCATGTTTCTGTTTAAGACATTTTGCATATCGATACAATTTTAAGATATATTTATCACATTGCATTATATATCTCTACCTCTGATCAAGATATTTATATATTAATTACATTTTGAGGTCATTGTCCTCCTTTACTGCAGTTGTTTAAAGATTGCTTAATATTATGATATGAAATCTTAATATTTTAGTTATATAGGTATTAAGTATATAATAATATACTTATCAATATCAATCAATAATCAGTCATGTTTGTTATACTTTTAGACTAATTAGGTTCTTTACATAAATAGAAACTGTATTCTGCATAGACAGGTAACCTTCAACCACTTCAAAGATCTGTAGAACATAACATTTAAATAATTTAGGATTCTGTTGAAGTGAGACACGATTGCTCCTGGCAAAAACCATCTATCCCCGAGAGAGTGCTGAGCACAAAGACACTCTACTTGGAGTTTGTTTTCTTCTTGGCACAACTGGCCTTTGGGCAAGGAACTGCCCAGCCTCGATCACTAACAAAGCGCACAATGTCCAGACTGGACAAGTAGGATACAAGAAAAAAAGACTGCTAAACCTTGCCAAATTATTCCTGCCTCTAAAAATGGTCTGTCAGTTACTCTAGGCCTTAGCCAAAGTTGGTTGCTTCAACATTGCAAATGAGACTTAAGTGAGTGCTCAGCTAGACAGCTGTCTCTGTCATCTACTGTACATTTTGGAAACTGCTTGGTTGAACTTCCTACTCAAGTAATATTATTTCCCTTCTCAGGCCTTCGATAGGGTTAAAGATTAGATAGTCGTAGTTACCGTCCTCTTATGATTTAGCGAAGCCATGTCTAATACAAGACTTAGACTCCTTAGGATAAAATGTTTATTAAAAGATTAAGATATGTTCCTTGCTTAATATTGTTTATGCTGGTTGTAATTCTAACTTTATACTTGATATCTGTTCCTAGTGTACATAGTTTTATATTGGGTTTAGAACTCTCTTATTTAAACAAAAGGAGGTGCTGTGGGAGCTCCTTCAGCCAATAGCCTTTAAGATACCAGCTCACGTAGGCATGGTCTCTTATACTATAAATGGAGCTGTAAAACGTGTGCTCGCTCGCTCTCTCACTCTGGCTGCCAGATAGATTCCTGTTCCCCATTAGTGCAAAGGACTGTGATCTACTGTGATCTAGGACTGTGATCTGTTGAGTCCACCCCTAAATAAATAACCCTCTATTATATGTAATTATAAACTAGTGTGGGACTATTTTGTAACTTCCATCAAAGACAAATTTCTCAACTGTAGAAGACAAATGATGCAACTCAACTCCCTTTATTTTCTTGGAAGCCTTGGTATGATAATTTAGAACACGTTAACTAATAATAACAGTAATAAATTATCTCAACTCAGTTATAATACTAAATGGAGCAAGATTTCAAAGTTGAATATATTTTACCACAACATGTTTCTATTTTTAAAACATGCTAACAAGTCACAATGGTCCAAAAAAATACCACTCTAATTCTCCACTTTTACTCTCATGTATGTATAATAAATATATATTCTCCATTTTTTACTCTCATACATATGTGTTATATATACATATATATCTATATACACACAAATACATCTGTGTGTTTATTGGATTAAAGGCATATGCCACCACGCCTGGCTTCTTTTAAACTTATAAGCAATATTATGAGACCAAAGGCTGGGGCTAAATGTAGCTCAGCTGGTGGAGTGTCGGCTTAGCATGCATCCTGGGTGTGACCCCTAGTAACAAATGGAGTGGGGCAGACAAGAGTGAGGAATGCATGCACTCCCAGCAATCTGGAGAGGCAAGAGAATCAGAAGTTCAAGGCCATCCTTAGCTGAAAATAAGACCCAGGTTAGCCCAGGAATCAGGAGACCCTGCTTCAAAAAATTAGATTAATTGATTTATTTTAAAAAGAACAATATCTATAGATAGAATTTATTAAGTTGCTTCCACGGATTCTTTGTAATTACTAAGAATCATCAGGTGCAGATGGGATGGCACAGCAGGTGAAGGGTGTTTGCTGCACAAACCTGTAGTCTGTCCCCAGAGCCTGAGTGAAGGCAAGAGAGAACCGGCTCCACGAGGCTGTCCTCTGATTACCACACACGCACTGTGGAACGACACTCTCCAAAAACAAATCTTTTAAAAAAAAAAAGGTTTCTTTTAAAAGCCAGGCATGATGAAGCACACCTTTAATCCCAACACTTGGGAGGCAGAGTCAGTAGATTTCTGAGTTTCAAGTCCAGTTTGGTCTACAGAGTGAGCCCCAGGACAGTCAGGGCTACACAAAGAAACCCTGCCTCAAAAAAACCATAAACAAACCAACAAATTAATTAATTAATGTTTTTAGAAAAATTATATTACCATAAGTTGTAAGGCCTAAAACTTCGGGGCCATAAAACAAGGTGATGGTTGGTAGGAAAGAAGGTTATCTGTAGGTACTTGAAGATGTGGCAACTTTTCTATCTTCCCCAGACTTCAAACACTTAAAATTCAAGGCATACTATACTGAAAAATGTTACCAAACTCATGACAGTCTTCTCTAATTTGACAAAGAACTTCTATCCTTAAAACTACACAGAATTAAAATTGGCTTGTAAGAAATTTAAAAAGATTTCATACCATAGGTTTGGTGTCAGATGACAGACCTAAGGGAAAAAAATTTAAACAAAATTAATTATCTAATATTGCTAAAACTCATAAAATTAAATCCTCAAATCAAATTAAAAGCATAAACAATACACAGGATAAATACTTTAGGCATATATAAGACCTTGTCTCGAAAAATTAATTGATTCAAAAAAGAACAATACCTACAAACATAATTTATAAGTTACTTTGACAAATCCTATTGTGTTTTTGAGAATTTGACATGGGGGTTGGTTAAATGGCTCAACAGGTAAAGGTGCTTGCTCCACAAGCCTGGCTGTTTATCCCCAGAGTCCAAGTAAAGGTGGAAGTAGAGAACTAACTCCATGTAGGTTATTTTCTAGACAGAGGTTCAAAAAATTGAAAAGCATACATACACACACACACACACACAAAAAAAACCCCCAAATATTCAGAGCATCATTAATTATATCAAGCAATTAGTGAAAACAATAAGCAACTATCAACTTAAAACTGATTAAATAAAATGGGGCATGTCCATATAGTGGAATATATTATAAACAATGAAATGAACAGAAAATACTTTAAAATCAACCTTGGAAACATGTTAGACTGAGAATGATGTTCAGTGGCAAAGCACTATTTATACACACAAGATAAGATATTCAGGCCCCAGTGGTGGCTCACACCTTTAATCCCAGCATTTGGGAGGCAGAGGCAGGCGGATCTCTGGGTTTGAGGCCACTTTAGTCTATAGAGACAGTTCAGAACAGCCAGGGATACACAGAGAAATCCTATCTTGAAAACTTTTCAAAAGGAAAAGCAAAAATCAGATATACAGAGTTGGCCCAGGGGTGCATATCTATAATTTTAGCATTTGTGAGGCTAAAGGAGAAAGATCATAATTCTGAGACCAGCCTAAGTAAGTTACACAGTAACCCCAAGGCCACCCTAGGGTACAAAGTGAAATTGTCTAAAAACAATAAAAAAGCCAGACTGTGGTGGTGAACGCCTTTAATCCTAGCACTCAGGAGGCAGAAGCAAGTGGATCTCTGTGAGTTTGAGGCCAGCCTGGTGTACAGAGTGAGTTCCAGGACAGCCAAGGCTGTCACACAAAGAAACTCTGTCTCGAAAAAACCAAAAAACAAGACAAAACAAAAAAGTATTATACTAAGCGAAAAAGTTAATTACAAAGATCACATATCATACATGCTTCCACTTGTGTGAAGGTAAATTTATAAATGAAGATAAACATTAGCAGTTGATTAAGCACTGAGGTAGAAAAAGGAATAAGAATAACTGATATTTCAAATTTCCTTTGTGGGTAGTAAATATCAGACTCACTGTAATGCTGCACAGACCTCTGAATAAAATAAAAAACTCAATGAATTACATCCTGGATAGATGGTGATTTAAACGAGAAAAGTTACCCAAAAACTTGGCATTTGAACAACTGGTCCCCAGATGGTAGTGGTGTTTAATGAGTTCAGAAGTGTGGCCTTATTGAAAAGTATCCCTGGGGTGGGTTTTGAGGGGGAAAAAAAAAAAGCCTAGCCTATTTGTAGTTCACCTCTGTGCCTGCTGTCACGCCTCTGCTCTACCATCATGGACTCCTATCCTCTGGAACCATAAGCCAAGGTAAATTCTATTCTTGAAGCTGCCTTTCATCATGATATTTTACTGCATTAACAGGAAAGGAATTAATATGTTATTTATGAAGCAGTGGATGACTTTAAACCCCAAATTCTCATTCATCCACTTTTCCACCCTCAAGAACTGGTATTACAGGTAGGTACCACTATACCCAGAGATAATTATTTGTTACAAACTACATCAGGGCCCTAGACCTTAGCACAACTGGTTCTATGATGGAAGTACCATTCAGGCTATAAAACTCACCACACAGACCACATCACCCACCAAAACTAAAAAAAGGTCTAATCCATCAAATTCCATAGTCTCTAAATGTACTAACCTTACTTTTTGGCTTCCGTAGTTCTACTCATGGCTAACTGTTCTTATTAACTAGGTATGTCAAACAAAAACACGGTTTCTATGCATTAAAGCTCACCCTGGGAAAGGCTTGAGGCTATACCAGGATCCTAAATACCAAGTGTAGTTGACGGCCAGCTAATAAAGACTTTTTCTTTCTTTCTTAAATTTATTCACTTTTTAAATTTTATGTGCACTGGTGTTTTTGCCTGGTGTCTGTATGAGGGTATATGGTCCCCTGGAACCTGACATGGTGCTAGGAATTGAACCTGAATTCTCTGGAAGAGCAGTCAGTGCTATTAACCACTGAGCCATCTCTCCAGCCCAATAAGGACTTTCTGTTGGCTTAACTCCATGTCTGAGCTGTCTTTTCTGCAGGTTACCCCACAACAAAACATTTCAAAATTTATTTTAACTAACCTTTATCTCATAAGAGGTTCTCTAATTCCCACTGTAGACATTCAGATATATATGAACTATTAAATGTCTTATTCAAAAAATAGTATTTCCTTTTACATTTTCTAAGTTCTTCTAAGAGTTATTCTGTAGTTTGTTTGTTGTTCGAGATAGGGTTTCTCTGTGTAGCCCTGGCTGTCATGGAACTTGCTCTGTAGACCAGGTTGGCCTAAATTTACAGAGATTTGCCTGCCTCTCCCTCTCCAGTACTGGGATTAGAGGTGTCCACCACCACTGCCTGGCTTATTTTGTAGTTCTAATATGTCAGAATGTAAAAATAACACTGCAAATGATACTTATATATTACTTTATTGACCAGGTTTCCTTTTCAAATTAATTTTAGCTTTCTTGGAGAAAAGTTGTTTTTTACATTGCTTTGTTTTCATGGTATTTTGAGACAGGGTCTCTCTACATAGTGCTATTTTGGAACTCAAGAGATTCGCCTGCCTCTGCCTCCCAAGTCCTGGGATTAAAGTGGTCTACTGCACCCAGCTTAAGACAGTTTTTTACTACATAGCTAAGGCTGGATTTCAACTAGCATTCTCTTGCATCAGTCCCAGTGCTAGGATTGGAGGACTACACTGCTACACCCTATCTTAAAATATTATATTTTGTATGTATGTGGGAGGCCAGAGGACAGTCTCTGGCATGGGTCTTCAGGCTCTGTTCACTTTGTTTTGTTTTATTGAGACAGGTCTCTCAATTAGGCAGGTTGGATGACCAGAAGGTCCCAAGTGTCCCCCTGCCTCTGCCTGCTCAGCCCTAGGATTATAAGTACACACCACCATATCCTGTTTTTTAACATCTGAGTTCTAGGGCTCAAACTCTCCTCAAGCACTTTACCCCCTAAGCTACCTCCTCAGCCCCTAAAATACCATTTTAATATTCTACATAGTCTACTATTTTTCCAATTATTAATCAATATATATGATGCCAATATAAGCCTCACAGCTAAGTCTATCAAAGATTACTTCTTTCTTACGTTCTTCAAAGTAAAACTGTGACGTTAAATATAGTCTTCTTCACTTCAGTACTTAGGTTAGCTCAGAGGTCTGAAAAAGTACACAATAATTTTAGGCTAATAAGACACAAAAGTAAACAAGGTACTAGAAATTCCTCAGATCTTCTAAGAAAGGAAAACAAATAGTAAGATCTCGCTCATAATTTCAGAACCTTCTCTTATACTCCTGAGCTCTTAAGGATGTAAATGTTGTAACTCTTAAGGGCTTCTAGACCTAACAAATTTAATTTGGAGGAAAGAAATCTATTGTCAGAAAAGAAAGTAAACGTTCTCAGAAGAACCTCTGCATTCTCACCTTTTGTTGGAACAGAAGAAATTCCAAACCTGTAGGAAGAAAAGACAAGCTAAATTTTAGGAAGCTGTTCACACTCTTAGTAGTCTATGTCCGTGTCAAGGGTACATGACACTTCTTCCTTGTGATCTCAAACTTTGCAATCATTAGCTAATTCTAACAACCCCATGAAAGAGGGTCAGTTTACTCTCCTTCTCACCAACAGTCCAAGAGTACACTAAAAGAAGTCCTCAGACTCAGAAGCAGCTGTCAGTTCCTGACGTTTACCTATTATAAAAACCCTAGCCGATGATGACAAAACCTAATGCACAGCTCCTATATTCAAATCAGCAGAAATGTTCTGACTATGGCCCAAACTGTGTTCAGTAATTTTAATGAGAACACTGTTCCACTTAAACCAACAATTATATCTAGAAACAAAGATCTGGCCTTTACAACATCTGATCTGATGTTTATAACATCTCTAGCTTGTGCCCAAAGGGCTAGAAACACTCACCTAGCTGCCCGCGCAGCCTTCTTACTCTCCAAGCTTACAGGTACATTGAATCGTTCAGCCCTCTTCTGCATTCTCTATATGATAATAAATGAAAATGAAGAGAAACTGTAACTTCTTGTTTAAGAAAACGTTGGTTAGGGTCATTTCTTAAGGTCTAACTGAAAACATGACTACATCAGTAGTATTCTTAGGTTTATCACAACAACTATTTTCAGAAAGCAAACACACAAACTATTATTACATTCACATTCTCAAAAACAAAAAGAATAATTCCATACAAACCCCAAAACACAAAAGTTATATTTAGTTGCCCTGTGAAAAAGATCAAAAGAACATCTAGGTCCCAGTACAGATTAAAAAAAACACTACTTCACTGAATTATAAAATAACTAAATAAATTTCTACTTTGTATAGGGCAGTGATGATGCATGTCTTTAATCCCGGCACTTGGGAGGCAGAGGCAACTGGATCTCTGAGTTCAAGGCCAGCCTGGTCTACAGGGTAAGTTTCGTTCCAGGTCAGCTAGGGCTACACAGAGAAACATTATCTCAAAAAACCAAAACAAAAAACATCTACTTTGGAAATACAAAGCTGAACACAAGATTTCAAATGAAACCTGTTCTTATACATCTTGAAATAAGAATCCAAAGAAATTTCATTCTCACCAGCTACCAATTTACAGGGAACATCGACCACTGCTACTTTTCCTCTCAAACTCAATCCCATGCCTGTAACGTTCCTATGAAGACCACACTGGTATGTGTAACAGATGACAGTTTTAACTGCTCACTATGCCAGCCCAAATATCTTTCCAAGTAGGTAGAGAAAAAAATATCAGTCAATTTTTTTACATGTATTTATTTTTAATTTTGCGTGCATACATGGACATATGCATCTATGCTACAACATACAGAGCTCAGCTCCTCTTCTAACGTGTGGTTCCAGGGGATCAAACTCCAGGTTGTCAAGCTTTAGCCCCAAGCACCTTTACTTACAGAGCCAACTTAGCAGCCCTAAAAGAAAACTATTAAATGATGCAGACAGAAGAAAGGGTACCTAGAAACCCAGCATCTGGGAGGCTGAATGATCTGGGATTCCCCTCTGTATGTTGTGAATACCACTGGTTAATAAAGAAACTGCCTTGGCCTGTTGATAGGGCAGAACTTAGGTAGGCAGAGAAAACTAAACTGAATGCTGAGAGGAAGGAGGCAGAGTCAGGGAGAAACCATGGAGCCACCTCCAGAGACAGACACGCTGAAACTTTGCTGGTAGGCCACAAACTCATGATGACGCACAGATTAATGGAGATGGGTTAAATTAAGATGCAATAGTTAGCATATAAGAAGCTAGAGCTAATGGGCCAAGCAGTGATTTAAATAATATGCTTTCTGGGTGATTATTTCAGGGCTGAGCAGCTGGGAACTAGCAACCTATTACAATAGCTGAAGTAGAAGGATTATGTTGGGGGCCAGCCTAGGTTACAGAATAAGATGTTTCAAAAACACAAAAACAATCGAAATGGGGACTCAGTAGATAAAAAAGCATGCTGTGCAAGTCTAATAACCTGAGCTAGAACACCCCAGAACCACAGAGCCATGGACAAAGCCAAATGTACTAGTACACATCTGTAACCAAGCACTCCTGTTGCAAGATGGTGGAGATCTGCTGGAAGCAGATCAGTTAGCAGGTCAGTTAGCCCTGGAAGATAGTTCAGTGGATAAAGTTGTTTGCTGCCAAGCTGGATGACAAAGTTTGGTCTCTGGAACCCACAATGCTAGAAGAAGAGAACCAATTCCCCCAACTTATTCTCTGACCTACACATGCGTATACACACACACACACACACACACACACACACACACACCACAGATAGATAAATAAAAGGCAATTTTTAAAAATGTTTTAAGAGACATAGAGAGACTCGTACTGCAAGAAATGACTCCGGAGAATTGTCTTCTGACTTGCTCATGTGTACCACGGCATTCATGCATCCACATCCCCACCAGCACCCCAATAAATATTTTAAAAAAGAATGAGACAGGGATCACTACTAAGAATACTTACTTCAGTCTGAGGTATTCCAGATGTAATTTTTACCACCTTCTTTTCTGAGGCCCTGCAAAAGATTTTTAAAAACCTGAAAATTGCTATTTTAAACCAAAACCTTAGAACTGGGTAAGTCACCTGAGTCATGTCCTCTGCCCCGTATGTGTCTACCACCCCTTAATATAAAGAAACATCAAATTCATAAAAACTCTGGTTCCTTGAACTCTCATCTACTGCGAGGAAAAAATTAAAATAAAACTAAGTTACTTAACTGAAGTGTAAGAATGTAATCAAGCCAAGAAGTCAGGGATCATTCCATTTGCTTTTAGGAGCTTCACAGCCACTTCTGAACTAAGAATTCTCTCTCCAACCTTCAATTAAACAGAAGCTCTCAACTTTTCCCCAGAATATTTAACCAGTGATGTACAAACCTTGATTTCCTTCTTTTGTAAGTCCCTACTACTCCCGTGGGATTTTAGCCCCAGCTAAAACACTCAAAGCAGAACAAATAAAAATGCCACAGGAAGTGGGAAGAAAAAAGGCTAAGGAGATGGGGTGTTGAGTTAGGAAAACATGGTGAGTTACTGGTCAAAAGGTTTAAGAGAAAACAAAAGAAGGGGACCACAGGGGCAGGAGACAAAGTTCGGAAGTCCTCAGGATAAATGGAAGGGCATTAACTCTCCAACAAACAACTCCCATAAAACTGTGGGTCATAACCAGTCTCATTAAAGTCCCTGATTTAGAGACATGGGCAGCTTTTGTTCCAATATCCCAAACACTTTTCCCATTTGATGTCCTGAAAGGTAGTAATGGTTTAACGACATTTTCAGAGGAAGCAATTCTGGAACAGGAGCTGACTATGCCCTCCATCCTTTTGTTGGAGGTCCTCAGACCAACAGGCAAGCGACAGATGCCCCCTACTGACCATAACTAAGTCCTACAATATTTAGCTACCTTAACTGGAGTTGGGGGTGGGCTTAAAACTAGATATAAAACTGTATTCACATATAACTTTAGACCAAAGATGATGTAAAGAGGTTTCCTTTTGGATATACAAGGGATTCAAATCAGCCCAGAAATATTCAGACTGTTTAAGAAATTTCACCAACCAACCATCTTCTCGTTGCTGCTGTCTGAGACGTGGCTTCTCCCATGAGACCAAAGCTATCTTCAACCTCTCATTACATATGTACACCACACACTCCCCTACTTTTCTCCTAAGATAGAGTCTCATCTTGTAACCCTGGCTGGCCTTGATCTGCTCCCCTCTGCTTCATGAGCGCTGGAATTAAAAGCATGGCCATAGCCAGACAAGGCGGCATTTGTAGACAAGTCTACATTTGAGAGGCAGAGGCAAGAGAATCTCTGTGAGGTCAAGGCCAGATTGGTTTATATATCAAATTCCAGGGCAATCAGGTCTACATAGAGAGACCCTGTCTCAAAAAAACAAACAAAAAAAGGCATGGGCAACTAGACCCAACAGAACTGTTCTTTTAATGACATGCAAGTAAGAACAAATTTCTGTGACATTTTTCCTGATTAAGACAAGGAAACAAGGAGCAAAAACCAAGTATGGTGGCAGACACCTTTTAAATCCCAAGGCTTGGGAGGCAGGAGAAGACAGGTCAACCTCAGGAAAATGACTGCCACATTCTCATCTACTTTGTTCTTTATTGTTTTTGAGACAGCATCTCAAGTAACCAAGGATGACACAGGCCTCCACTTCTCTCATTTTGGGATTATAAACACCCAACATTGCATCTAGTTTTACAAGGGGCTGGGGACTGGGTTCAGGGCTCTGTACATACTAGACAAACACTCTAACATCTAAATTACAATCTCAGCCTCCATGTACACATCTTGAAAAACAATCATTACAGTAGACCTAAAAGGAGAAAGGGAACCCTCATATTATATACCAATTCCTTTGGTCACAACTAAACTCAGGCAATAAATACACATCATATTCTCATAGGATTCATGGGATATTTCCATTCTTCACTGACTTATTTCTCTATCTAGTCACATACAAAAAGCATTCCCCTCAGGAGTTAGTCAGGGTTCTCGAGAGTTACAGAACTTAAGGGATGAAAATTTCTCTCTCATACAAATATATGTATATATTTTATAATATTAATAACATTATCATTATACGCACATACAAGGAATTTATTGGAATGACTTACAGGCTGTAGTCCAGCTAATCCAACAGTGGCTAGCTCTGAACACAAAGTCCAAGAATCTAGTTGTTGCTCAGTCCCACTAGGCTGGGTGTCTCAGCGTATCTTCTGTATGCTGGAATTCTGAAGTAGCTCCAATGCCAGTAAAGGAATGGATGTGCTGGCAAGGCGAGGACAAGCAGGCGAGAACTAATGAACCCTTCTTCCAAGGTTCCAGAAGGTGTGCCTTCCCACCTCAAGATCTGATTTAAAAGGTGTGTCTCTTCCAACCTCAAGATCTAGATCACAAGTGTGCCTTGCATCTCTGGATTATAGTTCATTCCAGATATAGTCAAGTTGACAACCAAGAATAGCTATCACAATCCACCCCTTGTCAACTTGACGCACAATCGTTCTCCTTAAGTCAAGTTATGGTCATGATTAATTTCCCAAATGAAAACAACCAGGTCAAAATAACATCTAAACATATCTATCCCATGTGCAATCACAAATGCATTATAAACTTAGGATAGGTGGCAATGTCTCTTGAGAGACATTCTTTTAGTATCTCAAACTTAAAAGCACAAGTATCTGTACAAATGCATTCTTAACAAAACACAACAGAAGCACTCGTGTCCATTATAATCCTCATTTCTGTGGCTGGTCACACGGCCTCCATTCTGTATTTCCTCCACCCTCTGCAAGTACCTCAGCAGGTCTTGGCTCTTGTCCTGTAGGAGTGACCCACACCTTCATTCTTGATAGCTCTGTGCCCTTTGTCATTCTGCCCAGATTAGGCTGTTTTGTAACTTCCCTTTAACTTTAATCAAGGGCATGGTAGCACCAAAAGATGCCCTAAAGTACCGCCTACACTCCAAACATAATTCTTACCTCCATCATGGAGAGGAAATCCAATTTCCCCATAATCTAACACTGTTATTCCTTTCTTAGCCTGTTGATTTAAGAGCGTTAGAGCCCAAAGTGACCAGGAGGAAGTCTGAGCTTCCAGTTCAAAGGAATGTTTGTTGTGTCTCCATGTGGAAACTAAAACTTATGGACCAGCAGAATTTAGGGAACAGAAAGTAAAAGCATTCCTAGTGGGTCACTAGGGGTATAGTGAGTGGAAATGTTCCCTTTTCCATCCCTTGATTCCTTGACCCATGGTTCTTGGCTACAGGAGAAACCATACCATATGTTGAACATTGTTTCAAAGCACATACTGCCTTCAAAAGAACCCTGCCCCAGCCCTTCATGCTGCTGCTACCTAACTGGTGCTATAACTGCGTCTTCAAAAGGCATTCCATCTTTCTGTCAGGCCAGCTGCTTCAGGATGGTGAGGAACATGGAAAGACCAGTGGATTCCATGATCATGGGCCCACTGTGGCACTTCTTTGGTGTGAACTGAGTTCCCTGGTCAGAAGCAATGCTGTATTGAATACCATGTCAGTGGATAAAGCATTCTTTAAGTTCATAGATGGTGGTTTTGGCTTCATTATGTGCAAGAAAAGCAAATCCATAACCAGAATAAGTATCTACTCCAGTAAGGACAAAGCACTGTCCCTTCTACAGAGGAAGTGGTCCAATGCAGTCAACCTGCAACGAGGTCACTGGCTGGCCTCCCCAGGAAATGGTGCTGTATCTGAGGCTCAGTGTTGGTCTCTGCTGCTGGCAGATCTGGCACTCAGCAGCAGCTGCAGTCAGGACAGCCTTGGTGAATGGAAATCCATGTTGTTGAGCCCATGCATAGACCCATCTCTGCCACCATGAACACTTTGTTCATGGGCCCACTGGGCAATAAAGGAATGGCTGAGGAGAGAGAGAGGCTGACTGTCCACAGAATGGGTCATTCTATCTATGTGATTACTGAACTCCTCCTCAGCTGACGTCACCTTTTAATGAGCATTCACACGGGACACAAGCGTCTTCACATCCTTTGCCCATTTGGAGAGATCTAGCCATACTTCTTCCCCAGATGTTTTCCTTACCAATTTTCAAATCATGCTCTTTCCAAGTCCCTGACCATTCAGCCAGTCCATTGGCTAGAGTGAACAATCACACATCTGGCCATTTCTCCTTCCAAACTCTAATACCATGTATATTGCCCAAAGTTCTGTCCAATGTAAACATTTCCTTTTGCCAGTATCTTTCAGGGTTGTCCCACAAAGGAGTTGTAATGCTGCAGCTGTCCACTTCTGGGTGGGGCCTGCATAATGTACAGAACCATCAGTAAACCCAGCCCTAGGCTACATACACCCCATGAGGCTACAGGTGCAGGTTTGGCAGAAAGTCTACCTTTATGCTGCCATGCTTCCTGCCATGATGATAATGAACTAAACCTCTGAACATAAGCAAGCCACAATTAAATGTTTTCTTTTATAAGAGTTACTGTGGTCATGGCGTCTCTTCACAGTAATAGAACATTGACTAAGAAAGTAATTAATAGCTTTGCAAATAGTTGACAAAAATCTAACAAAATAATAAGTATACATTCTGTGTAAAACAGTAAATCTTCCAGTACAAATTTATCTTCTGGATGTGACTTACATAATTATAAGAATAGTTAGATAAGGACATATTGCTTTTATGAATAAAGAAATGTTTATCAACAGGCAACTGACAAAGTACTATTCCTCCAATGAACAGAATAAACATAATATACCAATTGTAGTCACATGTGGTTGCAAACATAGATAATCCTAGCATTTAGGATTTAATGTTCAAAGTAACTCTTGACTAAATAGCCAAGTTCCACACCAGCCTGAGCTATTACATCAGACCCAGAGGAGAAGGGTATAATTACTAGAAAGGATAAAGTTTCAAAGTTAATAGTCATTATATCTGGATGATAAGTACAAGAGGGTCCATTATATTATTCTCTTAACTTCTAAATTATTTACTTGTACTTTCCTATAAGCTTAAAAAAAAAAAACAACTTTCCACTTGCTAGAACAATCAACAACATACGGTTGATTAAAATATATTACAATTATGTCTAACATATAAAATTTAAATTATCAATGTAATATAAAACAATCTCCAGATAGAAAAGAAAAATCAAGAAACTATGTGCACAGCACCTAAACATGAATCCACACATTCATATAGACACACACTCTATGTTAAACTATGTGCACAGCACCTAAACATGAATCCACACATTCATATAGACACACACTCTATGTTAAACTATGTGCACAGCACCTAAACATGAATCCACACATTCATATAGACACACACTCTATGTTAAACTATGTGCACAGCACCTAAACATGAATCCACACATTCATATAGACACACACTCTATGTTAAACTATGTGCACAGCACCTAAACATGCATCCACACATTCATATAGACACACACTCTATGTTAAACTATGTGCACAGCACCTAAACATGCATCCACACATTCATATAGACACACACTCTATGTTAAACTATGTGCACAGCACCTAAACATGCATCCACACACTTATACAGACACCCACACACTCCATGTTAAACACATGAGCAAAGCATGTAAGCATGCACCCACACATTCACATACAGACACCCACACACTCCATTTTAAACAACTCACCAAAAAAACTACTAAAAACCTTTGTAAAGTATCATGGAATGTGCTCAATTTCCTTTTTCTTAAATAAGATTCATTGTATGTGTTTGAATGTTTTGCCTGCATGTGTATATACATGTACATAGTGCCTGCAAAGAGCAGAAGAGGGCGCTGTATCCCCTGGAACTGGACTCACCCAGGCTGTGAGCTGCTATGTGGGTGCCGAGAACCACACCCAGGTCTTCTGGAAGAGTAGCACATACTCTTACCATTGACCACCTTGTCGATGCATACGCTTGTCTATTTTAGTTTTTCTTTGGTTTGTGCGTGTGCATGCTAAGGGATCAAATCCAAGGCGCTTCACCACTAAGCCACATACCCAGCCCCTTCGTTTGCAACTTTATACTCTTCTATGATCTATTTAACACCCTCCTTTCCTCCCTGCCGCTCTCTATGGGTATATTTTATATATTAAAGGTTTTGGTCTATTAAACACAAGGTCTTACACATATCAAGGTGCCCTGCACCATTGACCTATATTCCCACGTTCATACAATGCGCCTAACAAAACTATAGGCATACACCTGTAACACCAACACGCAGGGGGCAGGGCATGATAACTGAGCTCTACAGCCTGCTAAGCTACACGGAAGTCCAGTCTCAAAACCGATGACACCACTTTGAAGAACAAAAGTGGTAGGAGGGCTCCCCATGTCTAATGTCCCAAAGTTCAAAATGGCTAAAAATTTGTAAAAGGAGCCCTAATAAATGTTTATGACTAACCTTGTAGGATAAGTTAAACAAATCAAAACCTACTTTCTACTCCAGTATTTTGTCTTCTATTCCTCTACTGTAAATCATAAATCAGAGGTAAACTTACATGAGCTACAGCTTCTGCCAATTTCTCCCTCTTACAAAAGTCCTTATACACAGTTTCATACTTTTCTACAGAAGTAAAAAGTTTTCTGTACCTTTAATCCCAGCACTCGGGAGGCAGAGGTAGGCGGATCTCTGTGAGTTCGAGACCAGCCTGGTCTACAAGAGCTAGTTCCAGGACAGGCTCCAAAGCCACAGAGAAACCCTGTCTTGAAAAACAAAAAAAAAAAAAGTTTTCTGTAAAAGTATAAAATTCTATGAATAAGGGTTTGCAGGACTGTCCATGGAAGAGCATGCCTTTAATCCCAGCACTCTGGAGGCAGAGGCTGGTGGTAAAAGGTTTTATAAAAATTTATACTGCACAGGGAATCACTGATTCTAATCAAATAATCTATTATGGTGCCTCACAAAAGAACAAAGGCTAAGAGAACTGAACGGTGCCCGCGCTGAAGTTAACTCAATTACCTAATACATAGCATAGAGAAAAACTCATTTTCTTCACTGGAAACATACCTAAAGCAGGCAAAACTTTCTAAAAATACCTGACCTTATCAGAAACGAAAAGGTCAGGGGGAATATATAATAAGGAAACAGAGTGAAACTTTAAACCAGTATTTTTTAAAGCAGTACCTGGAAGGTTAGGTGTTTAGTTGGTAAATGCTTGCCATACAGGCTGGAAGGACTAAGTTCAAGTTACTGTCTCCCTGTGAAAAAGACAGGTGTTGAGCTGGTGCCTAAGAGCTCAGCACCAGAAGGAGGAGACAAGAGACCCTTGGGACTTACTAGCAAGTCGCTCTGCTCAAATGGGTGTATTCCACGCCAGTAAGAGACCAGATCTCAAAAACTAGGTGGAGTCGGGCACGCACCTTTAATCCCTGAAACTCAGGAGGCAGAGGAAGGAAGATCTCTGAATTCAAAGGTCAGCCTGGTCTACATAATGAGCTCCAGGATAGCCAGGGCTACATAGTGAGACCCTATGGGGGGGGGGGGGGGGGCGCCAGGCACACTAAGATGGAGAGTAATTAAGGAAGACACCTGACATCATCTTCCATATATATAATATACACTAGCACAACAAAAATAGAACTATCCACTCTTATTTAGATTATTAAAAAGGGTTGGCTGGCTGTGGTGGCACTTGGGAGGCAGAGGCAGGTGGATCTCTGTGAGTTCCAGAACAGCCAGGTCTACAATGCTAGTTCCAGGACAGACAACGGTATACAGAGAAACCCTGTCTCTTGGGAAAAGAAAGGAAGGAAGGAAGGAAGGAAGGAAGGAAGGAAGGCAGGCAGAGATATTAAAAAGGAATAATTACACATCAACAGTTTTTTCCGGAAGTTCTTCCTCTTTAACAGGCAGTTCTATGGGCTTTGGTTCTTCTTCCTAAAACCAAATGAAACAACATGGTTAACATAAATCAATATCCACTAAGAGTGAGGAGGTGATGGTGCAACACCTTTGATCCCAGCACTTGGGAGGCAGAGGCAGCCAGATCTCTGAGTTTGAAGTCAGCCTGGTCTACACAGAAAATCCCAGGACAGACAGAGCTACTGGAGGGGGCGGGGATGGGGGGAGATCCATAAGGACAGATGACTAAGTGTTTAAGAGAGAATATTAGGTCTGTGGTGGAGGCAGCTCACGCCTTTAATCCCAACACTCGGGAGGCAGAGGCACGTGGATCTCTGGGAGTTTGAGGCCATCCTGGTCTACAAAAAGACTTCCAGGACAGTCGGGGCTTTTAAACAGAGAAACCCTGCCTCAAAAAAAAAAAGAATTATATTAGTATATTGCTCTTCCAAAGGACCCGAATTTGATTCCCAGCACCTATTTCAGGAAGCTCATAACTGCCTCTGATTCCAGCTCCAGGGGAGCTGAGGCCTCTGCATCCATGTGCACATCACATACCCACACAATAAAAATAAAATAAAATCTTCAAAAAAAGTTTTAAACAGAGTCCCCATTAGGGCCAGCAAGATGGCTGGGCAGCAGGTGAGACTCTGGTAGTACCAGCTCGAAATCCTGAGTTCAATCCTTCCTCAATCCAGGAATCAATTCTGCAGCAAGATGGACGGCTGAAACAAGAGAAGTATCTGGGAGCTTAAGGGTTAGCTAGCCTACACACCTCAGTAAAGGCAGTAAGAGAAAATCCTGCCTCAAACAAGATGGAAGAGAGAACTAATTCCAGAAAAGTTGTCCTTTCTACATGCTTACACACATAATTTGTTTTTTAATTAAAAACAAGAACAGTTGGACATAGAGGTGCACACCTTTATCCCAGCACTTGGGAGGCAGAGGCAGGCGGATCTCTATGAGTTCAAGCTACAGTAGTGAGTTACTGGACAGCCAGGGCAACATAGTAAGACCCTGTCTCAAAGAAACAACAAAAATAGTAATAATAATAATTAACTTTGGGGCTGGAGAGATGGCTCAGTGGTTAAGAGCACTGCCTGCTCTTCCAAAGGTCCTGAGTTCAATTCCCAGCAACCACATGGTGGCTCACAACCATCTGTAATGAGGTCTGGTGCCCTCTTCTGGCCTGCAGACATACACACAGACAGAATATTGTATACATAATAAATAAATAAATAAGTATCATTTAAAAAAAAATAATAACTTTAAGTCAGGCAATGGTAACATACACCTTTAATCCCAGCACTCAGGAGGCAGAGCTCTGTGAGTTCAAGGTCAGTCTGGTATACAAAGCTAGTTCCAGGACAGCCAACGCTATACAGAGAAACCCTCAAAACGGAAAAAGGAAACAAACAAACAAACAAACAAAAAATCCCAACAACAAAAATATTCACTTTTTAAAAAGATAAACTGAGCATGGCAGTGCTCAAGACACAGGAATAGAACGAACAAAAATTAAAGATGCAGAGATCCATAGCCAAGCACTGGGCTGAGCTCCGGGAGTCCAGTTGAAAAGAGAGAGAAAAAGCTGAAAAGCAAGGTAATCAAGGGAACCCACAGAGACAGCTGACCTGAGCTAGAATTCATGGACTCAGAAACCAACCTGGGCCCTCTACATGTGGGTGACAGTTGCATAGCTTGGTCTGTTTGTGAGACCCCTAACAGTGGGATCACGACCTGTCTCTGGCGCATGAGCTGGCTTTTTGGAACCTATTCCCCATGCTGGGATGCCTTGTCCAGTCTTGATGCAGGGGAAAGAGTTTAGTCCTGCCTCAACATGATGTGCCATGTTTTGTTGACTCCCACAGGACACCTGCCCCTTTCTGAAGGAAGGAGGAAGGTGGGCAGAGGGAACAGGAAGAAAGAAGGAAGCAGAAACTGTGGCTGGTATACAAAAGAAGGGAAGGAAGGGAAGGGGAGAGGAGGGGAGGGGAGAAGAGGGGAGGAAAGAAGAAATGAAAGGGAGGAAAGGAGAGGGGAGGGAAGGAAAAGAAATGTAAAAAAAGAAAGAACAGCCGGGCGATGGTGGCGCACGCCTTTAATCCCAGCACTCGGGAGGCAGAGGCAGGTGGATCTCTGTGAGTTCGAGACCAGCCTGGTCTATAGAGCTATTCCAGGACAGGCTCCAAAGCCACAGAGAAACCCTGCCTCGAAAAACCAAAAAAAAAAAAAAAAAAAAAAAAAGAAAGAACAGAAGTTCAGGTCATCCTTGGCTACATAGTGAATCTGAGGCCAGCCTGGGCTGAGACCCTAGCTCAAAAACATTAATTAAATATTAGAAAAATAAAGGAATATCCATCAAGAGACAACATAAGAACTCCAAAATAAACTAGTCTTTGATTCCTCTTAGGCACCTAGGAGCTCAAAGGACTGATAATATACAATTTAACCAAAGCAGCGTCACATTATCAACTCACCTCAGTCTCATCTCCCAGTACATCTTCTTCATTTGCCTCCTCTTCAGCTAAAGAACATTAAAGTTAAAATATTCAGGTCAAGCCCTGCTATAAAACCATCTTGATCACTGTGATAAGAGTAAAATTACAACCTCTTTGCTTTCCCAAAATTATATTCAATAATGATGGCAAAACCAATCCTTATAAAATAAGTCACATTTAGAGAAGATAAAACCAGATCTCTATCTAAAGTTAGTATAAAATTGCATTCCATCTGAACTGAATAACTAAAAGCAATTGGGTTGCAATTAAGTCACACTATAGTATTAATTTTAAAACTAACTGGACAGACCAGCCTGGTCTACAAGAGCTAGTTCCAGGACAGGCTCCAAAACCACAGAGAAACCCTGTCTCAAAAAACAAAACAAAACCAAAAAAAAAAAAAATTAAAAAAAAAAAACTAATTGGACAGAGTTTGGTGGTGCATGCCCTCGAATCCCAGCATTTGGGAGATAGAGGCAAATAATCAGTAAATTCAAAGTCATTCTCAGTTACAGAGGCCAACTGAGGTTATATAACACCCTGTCTCAAATACGCAACAGAAAAGATGTGTGTATGCATGATGTAAAGATAACTCAGTCCAAGTCCCAGAACCCACATAAAAATGTCAAGCATGTGGTGGTAGATCCTTGTAATGCCAGACCTTGGTAGCCAGGCAGAGCCAGAGGCTGACTAAAATGACTAGGAGGATGGCTCCTAACAGCAATTCTCACGGCTGACCTCTAGTGAGTTAGTGAGAGGGAGAGTGAAGGACAGGCACATAAATGAAGAGTGTGTTACAGAATAATACAGAAAATATCTCTGACAGTGATAGAAGGTTGAAAGATGCCTCGGTCATTAGTTGCTCACAAGCAAAACACCAGGGACTTAGTGGGGAAGGAGTTCTTTAAAAGTTAAGCAAGCAAACACAGTGGTACTGAGAGGTGACTCAGAAGTTCAGAGTACTTATTGCTAATTAGATCCCAGTACCTAAATCAGGCAACTCACACTACCTGCAATCTCAGCACCAAGGAATCTGACACCTTTTACTGGATTCCTTGGACATGCGCATGCGTTCTCATGCACACACACACCAAAATAGGTGAAAAAATTATTTTCAAATTACACACTACTAAAGAACACCAAGGGGGAAAAACATAAAAGATCAATAACAAAGATATTTGTTTAAAACCAACAAGGTAGCCCCATGCCTGTAATTTGAGCACTTGTGTGTGTGGAGGGGGGAGACCAGAATCAGGAGCAAAGACAGTCTAAACAGAGACATTTAAACTTTTTCATGGAAAAAAGTATATTAAGTATATTAAGACCAACAAATTAGCCAGGTGGTGGTGGCACACACCTTTAATCCCAGCACTTAGGAGGCAGAGGTAGGCAATTCCAACAAGACCCTGTTCCCTTAAGTTTCAGAGGACACTGTGGTTAAGTGCCCTGTCTCCAATTTCAGAAGAATGAGAATCCATGCTGGACTGGGAACCCCACATGCTTTCCTTCCCGACTCCCCCCTCACCAGGCTGCTCTGCCTTCTGTTTACACTAATTAGTTTGCTTCATCAATTCCCTTTCTATATATCCCCAATAACATATCAAATCCTCTAACCAAACCAATGAGCTAGTTGCTGCTGGACTACCAGCTGTTTGTTGGCCACAGAGCTGGAGGCGCCAGACTACCTACCAAACATGTTCGGATGGTGAGAACCAGCAGCACCTCAGAGGTACCACAACTGCCTTCGGTAACCAACCACTTGTGTCTCCCGAGTGTTAAGGTGATGCCATGATGATGGGAAAGGAACAGGTGCTTTAAGGTTCACTTATGTAAAGATAAGCTTAACTGATAAGGAGAAAGTGCTTTGAGACATTTAAAAAATGAAGCAATTGCCAGATTTCTCTCATTGTGCTACTGTTATTTTAAGATTCCAAAATTCATAGACTTAACCCATTAACTGATGGAATTCTGATAAGCTTAATCTAGCTCTGGCAAAATACTAAACATCATATTATCACTCACTATATGATCATAACTACAAGATTGGGATTTTAAATTCCCTTTGGCTGTTTTCTAACACTATAGACTTAAAAGGTGCTTTTCATTGTGCTAAAAACATGTCACGGGCCGGGCGGTGGTGGCGCACGCCTTTAATCCCAGCACTCGGGAGGCAGAGGCAGGCGGATCTCTGTGAGTTCAAGACCAGCCTGGTCTACAAGAGCTAGTTCCAGGACAGGCTCCAAAACCACAGAGAAACCCTGTCTCGAAAAACCAAAAAAAAAAAAAAAAAACATGTCACGGTTTTCTGGATAGAAGGAAGAGTGTCAATGCTTCCAACCCAAATCATTTCAGGTGTGCGCATACTGCCATTTCTAATGTGCTTAAAACTTACCTTTTCACAAATCCAAAGAATTCTTGTATGTTCCAGGAAGTTGACTTGGATTTACCTCAAACAGGTCAGATGTGTACCCCTCAATTACCAGAACCTAAGAAAATCGTTTTCCCTACACTTAACCTTGTCCTCTCTTCTGTCAGCACTTCACCAAGTCTAAAAGGCACTGGACAGTTCCATGGAGCCTGGACAGTGGCAAGACAACCAGCTACTCCAGGACATGGCCAGCTTCCCAGTTTTCTCAGGTCCCTTCTCCCCAAGATTTCAATACCCACAAATAGCAGGAAGCAGTCTCAAGAACTCAGGGCCCTCATTTCCCTAACCTACCATGCCTAACTTCTCATCTTTTGTTTTTGGGTTTTTTTGTTTTGTTTCATTTGTGGGTCCCTCCTCCCCCCAGACAGGGTTTCTCTGTGTAGCTTTGGTGCCTGTCCTAGAACTCACTCTATAGACCAGGCTGGCCTCGAACTCACAGAGATCCCTGACTCTGTCTCCCAAGTGCTGGGATTAAAAGTGTGCACTGCCACCACCCAGTCCCACCTTTTTTTAATAAATAAAAAGGGAGAAATGTTAATATCCAGGTACATCTGGCCCTGCACTTTGGGGAACCTGGCAGAGTGCGTCACCCCTGCACACATGACAGGCAGTTACTCCATCCCTTTAAAAGGTGAAACTCTGCCTACTTCTCTCTATTCTCTTCCTCTCCCTCTCTCCCACCTGTCCCCCTCGCCTCGCCTCTCTCTTCTCTTCTGCAGCTCCTGCACCCAGAGTCTTCCCCTTCTTCCCCCTTTCTCCATTCCCTTTCCCTTAATGAAAACCCCTCAGGTGAGCTCTGTCACACTGCATCTTTCTCTCACATGTCACTTTTTAAACTACAACACAACTCCCACTTGGGTATCAGGGAACCAAACTCGGGTCCACATGCTTACCCAGCAAGAGCCCTTACCCACTACATCATCTACCCAGATCCCCCATACATACAACCCTCAAAAAAATAAAAACAAAGAAAAAAGTGAGACATAAAGGTTATGAGCTCATTACCAATGATAGAAATTAAAATATTATATTAAGCAACATATCTTATTTTGTATGCTGAGTCTATGTGTTTGTATGAGCATGTATGTGATGCATGTGTACAAGAGCAGATGTGGAGGCCCTGTAAGGTGTTCTGCTCGACTACTTCCCACCTTATTCCTTTGAGATGGGAGATCTCATTGAACCTGGAGCTAGTCTGGTGCAGCAGCCTAAGGAATCCTCCTGTCTTCACTACCCACAGCACCCATAGGCTTGTTAAGACTAAATCTAGCTTTTTACATGGGTGTTGGGATTCAAATCCAGGGCCTCATGCTGGCACAGCAAATGCTCTTACCTACTGAGCCATCTTTCCAGCCCCTAAATGTATCTTGATTATATCAAATACATAAGAATGGGTGTCTAAGAGTATTGAAAGGAAGCGAAATGAGGACTGGAAATAAAAGAGAATAAATAAAAATCATAAAAGATGTGTACAAAATGGGATGATGATATGCACCTTCCACGAGGTGGGGCTATTTATTTTCAAGGTAGAATTGGGGGACATGAGGTCTAGGAGGAACCAGGGATTACCTAGTTTAAGGATTTCAAGGGACCAGATGCTTGTCTTTGATATTGCAAAAGATAAACACTTGGCTATGTAAACAGTAACTGTGCAAACATATTTACTGAACTTTTGCACAAAATAAATTAAAGCCTTCAAACTCTTAACTAATAATAGCATTTTGTGTGTGTGTGTGTGTGTGTGTGTGTGTGTGTGTTTTCTTAAGGTATGGTCTCACCAAGTTGTTTAATTGTGCCTCAAACTTTGATTCTCTTGCCTTAGCCTCTCAAGCAGCTTAGCTTACAGGACTGGCTAATTTTTAAAATATTACTTACTTTATGAGTATTTTGCCTGCATGTTATGAATATACATCATGTGCACCAGATTCTCCTGGAACTGGAGTTACTGATGGTTACAAGGCCACCATATGGGTGCTTGGAATTGAACCCAAGTCCTCTGCAAGAGCAACGAACACTAAATCACTGAGCCACCTTTCCATTCCCTTTCACAGGCTGATTTTTAAATAACATGCTAAAATAATCACAGCCAAGTAGGTAACATGACAAGTTCTTATCACTTTAGTATAAAACAAAAATATTTTAATTCACACACACAGTTTTGTTTTGTTGAGACAGGGTCTCACTATGTAGCTCTAGATGACCTACGCTGGCCTCAAACTCCTAATTTTCAGGCCTCAGTCTAGTGGGTACTGAATTACATGTACTATCACATCCAAATCAGCCCAATAGTATTTTTTGTTGTTGATTTTTTTTTTTGAGATAGACTTTTACTTTGTAAATCAGATTAGCCTTAAATTTGAGGCGATCTTCCTGCCTCTGCCTCCCAAGTGCAAGGATTAGAGGCATGAGCAGTCATGACCATGGCCAGCTCTAAAAGTTTTCTTGATGTTGTTAATTTAGACCTAAGAAAGGAAGAAATCTTTTCAGTGTCAGAACTTGAAACTTACTGCTTTACCCACATCATGTTCCCTCCACAAAGTGCTCACCATGTTCTTCAAGATACGTCTGCAGCCGATTGATAAGATCTTGCTTTATTCCCTTGGTCTCTAAACCACGAGCAAGACATTCTTGCTTTAGTTCAGCAAGCTGGGAAAAAAAAAACAACTTTTTTAACTCCTATGAATGAAAAGAGATGGTTCTCACAAGGAGAAGAAGATGATGATGAAGGTCAGCTCCCAATTGCAAGTACTATCCCTGACCAAGATTCTAAATCCACAAAAGTAGCTTACTTTCCCTTCAACAACACTGGGAAAACACACACACATACACACACTAAAATAAAATTGTAATCTATTTGAATGATTGTTTTTTTAATAATTAAGGGGAGACAGTTCTAAAAGATTACTCTATCAGCAACATGGAGGGAGGGAAAAAAAATCAATCTTCAATCAGAAAATCCAGTGTCCTAATGGCAGATTCTCCCTACCATCCAGCTATGGTTTTACAGTATGGTAGTAGCGGGTCTTCCCAACACAGTTTCTGTGTCAGAAGCTTGGTCCTGAGTGTAGTCGTGCTGGGACTATTAAAAAGTAGAACAGGAGCTAAAAAGATGGTTCAGCAGTTAAGAGCATTGGCAGCTCTTCCAGAGGTCATGAGCTCAGTTCCCAGCAACCACATAGCAGCTCCTAGTCATTTATAATGGGATTTAATACCTTCTTCTGGCATGCAGGTGTGCTGCAGATGGATCACCATTATACATAAAATAAATATAAAAAAATTAAACTGAAAAGACATTTTGCCAGGCAGTAGTAGTGCACATCTTTAATCCCAGCACTTGGGAGGCAGAGACAGGAGGATCTCTGTGAATTTGAGACCAGCCTGGTCTACAGAGCAAGTTCCAGGTGGATCCAAAGCTACAGAGAAACCCTGTTTCAAAAAACCAAACAACAAACAAAAAAAGGCAGAGCAGCTTGATCAAGTGGCACACCATAGTAATCCTACCAATTGTGAGGTGGGAGCAAGAGGATCAAGATTTTAAGGCCAGCAAAAACATCCACCCTACCCCCCCCTCTCAAATGTGGAGCTTACTGGGAACTTCATCCTAGGAAGGAATTAATACAGTTCTTTAGGCTAATTCTCCAAACAATGAGTTCATATAAAAGAGTAAGAGTGGCCTGGTATGGGCTTGTAATCCCAGGTGGCCTGGTATGGGCCTGTAATCAGGATGTGGAGGCAGAGAGACCAGGAGTTCAACACCAACCCAGGTCAGCTTGGATTCATTACATGGGACCCTGCCCTAAACTCTCACCTCTGGCTTTCAGTTCCTCAAAACTGCTGTGACCATTCCGTCATCTACTACAAGGCTGTTACCAGAGCAACATTATGCTGCTGGGGCTTTCAGTTTCCAAGATTGGGAAATAAGGAAAGTACAACCTCTGGTATTTTGCCATAATGGTAGAAAATTGACTAATAAACACTTATTATCCCAAAAGTGCTATTACATATACCATATATGCATGTATAAAAATAATCATTTCAGAATTAGAAGTTCAGCTGGCTTAATATCAACAATGAACTAACTAAAGGACCTCTCCTTTAGCTAAATATATCACCACAAAAAGAAATTCAACACCCTCCCATAGTCTATAATATTTAGGTTTTTACTGTGCTGTTCCTATGTTGTACATCAAGTCCAGAACCTTATGCAGGATGAGCAATTACTCTACCTCTAGAGCTATATATACCACAGTCCTATTACACATTTTAAATCACACAGTAGCTATGATTTCCCATGACAGAGCTGCACAAAATTAGACCACATCAACTCCTTGTCATGCAAAAGCAAGGGCATTCTGGGGATCCTCTCTTAGGGTTTACAGTTAATGGCCTATGGGGGATTTCTTCAGTGGTGTAACCAACAGTAAGTGCCCCTGCCATAATGAAAACTCACTGGATCATAGGGAAAAAAACCAACTACATAAGTAAAAGGGGGATTACTTGGGAGGAGAAAGTAGGTTAGTGGGAATGAGAAGAGGGCAAGAGAAGGTGGGGGGGTACCTAAATATGATCAAAATACATTATGTACATGTATAAAGATACCATATGAAACTCATTTTTTCATTTATAAACAATATATGCTAATAAAAAATTTAAAATATTAACATATGAAAGATGCCAGATGGCAAAAAAACTGGAAATCCTAGCTCATCAGGATTATCTTGTAAGGAACAGAGCACGCCTGAAAAATGCACACAGCATACAAATGTAGGAGCAGGTACCTCCTACATAAGTGATTTATAAGGGGCCACAAACTGGGGATTCAGGGTTTCTGAGCTGTGGACTATCCCAGTTCTGTCACCCATTCCATTGTCAGACGTGTCTCCCTTTTTCTTAACAAACTGTCTCCATTTCTACCAGACACACACTTTTTCAATCAGTAAAAATGTATACTTACCAACCTTACAGACTACAGAAGGAATACTGATGGGTAACTGACAGAACTAGGAGAGAAGACACCCACATCAGAAGTCTCAAAATTGTCTGTAACTCCTGCTATACTGGGAATTTAACAACCTCTTCTTTCCTCCTTGGACCCCTTTGGGCACCTGAATCACATGCACAATGCTCATACACAGACACTAATTAAAAAACAATTTTTAAAAGTTTGTTGTGCTGTTATGTCTCCTAGGAATGTCAGGAGCTGCACTATTAACGTCTCAACATGACTGCATAACAAGAGCTGACAACAAACACACTAACACGGAGGGAGGGGCAAGTCCAGGAACCTCAACAGCTCACAATGAACTACTGGCAACTAAGGAGTTCTGAGAGTGGGAGAACAGTCTTCCCCAGAGACGAGCATAACAACCCCAAAAACACACAAATAAGGAATATTATACAGACTGAGCAGGTTGTACTTATGTATTTAGGTGTGTTTATGTAGAGAGAAAGACACACACATGTAACAACAATTAATGAAAAAGAGGCCATGAATTTGAAAAAGGGGGTATATGGAAGAGTCTGGAAAGAGGTAAAGGAGGGGGTAAATGATGTGATTATATTAAAATCTCAAAAACTAAAAGAAATATTTTAAATTTAAAAAGAGGAGTATAACTCAGCAGAAGTGACCACCTGCTATGTATGAGCTGGAGGAGATGGTACATACATGTCTGTAACCCCAGGACTCAGAGGATAGAAGCTGAAGAATCAGAAAAGACCAAGGCACCCTCAGCTAGATAATGAGCTTAAGATAAGCCTGAGTTATGAGACCTTATTTCAAAAAATAAAAATAAGTAGGTATATATGTGAAATCTTCTATTTAAGAATCAACTCTTGCCGGGGAGTGGTGGTGCACATCTTTAATCCCAGCACTCGGGAGGCAGAGGCAGGCGAATCTCTGTAAGTTCGTGGCCAGCCTGGTCTACAGAGCAAGTTCCAGGACAAGCTCCAAAATTACAAAGAAACCCTATCTCAAAAAACCAAAAACCAAACCAAACTAAACAAACAAACAAAAAAAAGAATCAACTCTCCAATAACATAAAAACTAGTTGAGGGTTGGAGAGATGGAGCTCAGTCTTGAGCTCCACACTAAAAACAAGCTAGGTTTAAATTCTACCTTTACCACCTACACCTATGTATTACTGAAAAGTAATTTATAGTTTCTGTGCCTCAGTTTTCTTATCTTTAAAATGGGACGGGCGGTGGTGGCGCACGCCTTTAATCCCAGCACTCGGGAGGCAGAGGCAGGCGGATCTCTGGGAGTTCGAGACCAGCCTGGTCTACAGAGCTAGTTCCAGGACAGGCTCCAAAAACCACAAAGAAACCCTGTCTCGAAAAAAACAAAACAAAACAAAACAAAAAAAAAGGGAATACCAGAACCAATTTTATAAAACAATTATGAAAAATGAAAATCTAAAGTAGTAAACCAAGTGTAGTAGCTCATGTTTATAATCCTAGCACTCATAGGTAGAGGCAGGCAGCCTAAACAACAGAGTCCCAATCCAGCCTAGGCTACATAGCAACTCTGGTATTTTGTTGTCTTTTCAAGACAGGGTTTCTCTGCGTAGCCCTGCCTTTCCTGGAACTCACTCTGTAGACCAGGCTGACCTTGAACTCATAGAAATTCCACCTGCCTCTGACTATAACGGAATAGCTATTACAACTCCTGCCTCCTGAAGGCTAGGATTAAAGGTATGAACCACCACTGCCTGGCTTGACCCTGGTTTGTTTCTTTTGATTTTCTGTTCTTATTTTATATTTTTTTTAAAAAAAAGTCTTGTTTTTTAAAAATGGTCTCTTTTATTGAGACCGAGTCTCTCTATATAATGCCTTCGTTATCTTGGAACTCTCACTATATAGAGAAGGTTGGCCACAACGAATTCAGAGATTCACCTACCTCTGCTTCCCAAGTGCTGAGATTAAAAGTGTTTACACAAAGTAACCTGATGATCTGGGGCACATAGAAGAGAAAATTCTGACAGTTTTCTTTTAACCTCCAAATGTATGACATGGCACAACTCACCCTAACACACACACACACACACACACACACACACACACAAATAAATGTAATTAAAAAAAAAAAAGAATGTGAGGCCGGGCAGTGGTGGAGCACATCTTTAAACCCAGCACTCAAGAGGCAGAGGCAGAGGCAGGCGGATTTTTTTGAGTTTGAAGTGAGCCTGGTCTGCAGAGTTCCAGGACAGCCAGAGTTGTTACAGAGAGAAGGCTCTTTCTGAATTAAGGATTACCTTGAGTCTAGGGTTAGACTGGGTTAGAGAGAAGCCCCATCTCAACCTAAAATAAAAGACGGTTTGGAAACAGCTCAGCAGGACCCAAGCTGGGATCCCCAGAGCCCATACAATCAGATAAGGTAGCATGTAATCCTAGCACTCCTACACTGAGACAGGAGGCAGACACAGAAGAATCCTCAGAAGCTGGAAGGCCAACCTGCCTGGCATAGGCAAAATGGAACAAGAGCTCCTGTCTCAAACAAGGTGGTAGGTGAAAATAACACTAGAGATTGTTCTCTGACTTTCACAAATGTGCACGTCCGCATTTATACAAAGGAACACATAAGATAAAAAAAACAATAACAAGAACCCCACCCTCTACAACAACATTCCAATTTACTTTTATAGTCAGCTTCACTAACCTTCCAAATCATTAGCAACAACATTTACAAGTTTCAATAACACAAATACTATGACATTAGACACTATTATTGACCTCTGGTTCCCTCCACTGTAGAGTTCCTTTTAGCATGATTAATTATAAATTTGGTTGTTATAGTTCAACCACAAGTCAGTCTTTCCAACTGAGTCAGAATGCCTATATTGTCACAAAATTTTCAGAAATTTGCACTTGATATAGACTCTATGTATCAATGCAGACATTTTTATCCTTCATGCTTTAAACCTTGTTCCTTTCTTCTGAACTAAAGTCACCAATTTCTCTTTATAAAAATAAAAAGAGCCTTTTTTTCTTTTTCTTTTTGAGACAGGGTCTTTCCCTGTCACCCTGGGTGTTCTGGAACTTACTATGTAGACCAAGTTAGCCTGGAACTCATAGAGATCCACCTGCCTCTGCTTCCCAAGTACTGGGTCCACTAAGCCCAGCTTAAAAACAGTTGGGCTTATGTAGTTTTGGGTTTTTTTGGTTTTGGTTTTTTGTTTGTTTGTGTTTTGTTCTTGGAGGGTTTTTCGGGGTTTGGTTAGTTGACTGGTTTTTCAAGACAGGATTTAGCCCTGGTTGTCCTGGAACTCACTCTATAGACCGGGCTGGCCTTGAAATCAGAGATCTGCGCGTCTCTGCCTCCCAAAAACTGGGATTAAAGGTGTGCACCACCACCACCAAGTGGAAACTGGGTTTTTTTTTTGTTGTTGTTGTTGTTTGTTTGGGTTTTTTTTTTAGGTATTAAAAACCCTAAATCAGCCGGGCGGTGGTGGCGCACGCCTTTAATCCCAGCACTTGGGAGGCAGAGGCAGGTGGATTTCTGTGAGCTCGAGGCCAGCCTGGTCTACAAGAGCTAGTTCCAGGACAGGAATCAAAGGCTACGGAGAAACCCAGTCTCGAAAATCAAAAAAAAAAAAAAAAAAAAAAACCCTAAATCAGCTGGGTAACATGGTACCTACCTTTAAACCCAGCACTGGGATATGGAGGCAGGCAGATCTCAGTGAGTTCTAGGCCAGCCTAGTGTCTATGTATCAAGTTTCAGGCCAGCAAAAGCAACACAGAGAAGCACTATCTCAAAGATAAATTAAATAAAGTAAAAAGTCTAAGTCAAATCAAAACGTCAGAATATTAAATCAAGATGAACATTAGAGCCTAACATTGTCTTCAAAGCTAGAATTTATATGGGTTCTTAACCAGAGGTCTATGGACTCCTCAGGGCTAAAAGGTAATTTTATGGAGCCCCTTAAATCGCATGCAAAGTATTGTACATGCCTTTTTCTGGGGAGAAGGTCCATACCTTTCATCAGAGTTTCAAAGATATCTGTGACCTCCAAAAGTTTAAGAAGTGCTCTAGAGAGAAAGCAAAGACAAGCAACCGTGATTAAAGAGTAAGCCCTGCTCTGGCCCTCAGGAGCGCCTCATGTGCTCCTATCTACATAGTACTGAGATCAGGTCGGAAGACACAGATGGGATTCACTCAATCAAATGCAATTATCAATATGATGGAAGGAGGAACTCCTTAAACAAGTGCAAATCCATAAAGGAAAGTCATAACTAGTTCTAACTAGTGACTTATTCCAGGATTTCAAAAGGGTACAAATAAGAAAATATCAAGATAGCTCACTAATTTTTAATCTCTTTCACCTACAAATTAATTTTCTGTGTATACTTTGTAACATGTACAACAGTACAGAACTCATACAGATAACTAAAATGAGGTAGTTGCTACATTTTTTCTTACTTGTTCAGATAATCATTAGGAAACCACTGAAAATTCATTCCAGCAACTAAAATAACATAAAAACCCACTAATGAAGTTGAGATCCAATAGTTAAGAAACATTTGCTGTCAAAAAAGGTGATGTTCCCTGGAAAAACTAAATTATAAGGACTTTTTCTACACACACTTCACTTACATCTTTTAAAGAAAGACAAAAAAACTCAAAAATTATGAAGGCTTTTTCAAGATTAGAAATGTTGCGGGGGGAGCTGGAGAGATGGCTCAGTGGTTAAGAGCATTGCCTGCTCTTCCAAAGGTCCTGAGTTCAATTCCCAGCAACCACATGGTGGCTCACAACCATCTGTAATGAGGTCTGGTGCCCTCTTCTGGCCTTCAGGCATATAGACAGAATATTGTACACATAATAAATAAAAAAAAAAAAAGAAATGTTGGGGGGGGACAGGAGCAGGTGTCTGAAGACACCTGAAGAGAGCATCAGATTCCTTCGAGCTGGTGTTCAGGTGACTGGAACCAAACTCAGGTCCTCCAGGAGAGCAAGAGCTCTTAACCACTAAACCATTTCTTCAGACACAATTATCAAGCTCTAAGAAAAAAGGGAAAGTTTTCAGGGCTGGAGAAATGGCTCGACAGTTAGGAGCACTGGCTGCTCTTTGAGAGGAGTCAGGTTCAGTTCCCAGCACACGTGGAGACTAACAACTGGCTGCAATTCTTCAGGCACACAGAAATACATACAAACAAAACACCCGTACTCATAAACTAATATTTTTGAAAAATCATCTCAATGCAACAAATAAAACAACAACAAGAAAATAGAAAAACAGGCATGATGGCACATCAGAGACAGAGGTAGGAGGATCTCTGTGAGTTCCAGGCCAGCTAGAGCCACATATTGAGATCCTGTCTCAATAAACAAATATAAATTTTTAATTTTTACTAAGTTTGATTTGTACCAGGTTCCCAGGATAAGGTGACCAAAACATTTAACAGCAAAGATACTTGTGAAAACAAACAATAATCAACAAAGTTTCTTAATTCTTCCCAAAAAGATTAATTATAGAAGTGTAAGTCTACATATAAGAAAAGTACTATGATTACCAAAATTTACAACTCAAAATAGGTCCTGTGGTTCAGAATGTCAGCAAGAAGTGACACCAAGGAGTGCCAGAGAGATAGCTCAGCGGTTAAGAGCATTTATTGCTCTTGTAGAGGACCAAATTCTGTTCCCAGCACCCACATCAGACTGCTTACAGCTGCCTGGAACTCCAGCTCCGGGGATCCAACATCCTCTTCTAACCTCCCCGGGCATGCACCACACATTCCCACAGACGCATACATGTACACAACAAAAATAGATCTTAAACAAACGAACAAACAAAAATAACACCAAGAGACCCGGGGGGTCCTTCCCAATGACAGACAGCAAAAGTAAAATCCTAACGTTTTCAAACATACTTCATATATTTCCAAAATCCTACAGCTATCCGTTCTCTGTAGGGGGAGGGAAACAGTCTCAAGAGAGGGCAGTTTTCCAGAGAAAACTCAAAAAAAAAAAAAAAACTTTAAGGGCTAATGTGTTCGTCATTTTACAAACTCTTGAGCGGCCTCTGCCCCACGCTTCCACCGGTAAACCCATTTTAAGGCCTCTCCTTGCTTTCAAAATTCGAGTACGGGGGCGTAACCCCACCTAGTTAAAAGAGAATGGAGACATCTTCTGGGTTATGTTTGCGACAAGTCCAGGCATACATGCAAAAACGCCGATATATGCTAACTGAGCAATCTCAGCCGTGGGACGAGAGGGGAACACATCAATCTGAGAAGAAAACCTAATTTGGGGTCCGCATGGGCCCCGGGGGAAGGACACTGACGTAATGCAAATCTAATGAGAAAGGAGAAAGGTGAGAAAGGATGGGAGATAATACAGCAATGAGGAGAGGGCTGAAACAACAGGTAAAGACAGCAATAAAATCCTGAGGAGAAACGGGGCTTAGGGCAGGCCTAAGAAAGGAGGCACAAAACTACAACGGAAGCCAGGAAAGAAGTATAAGCGCATAAAAGAAAAACACGTAGAAGGCGGCGCAGGATCCCGTGCGGGATTCGGGCTCCAGAAAATCCCACCTCAGCCTTCCCCGCGTAACGGTACCTTCAGCTTGTGCAGCTCCACCGTCTCGGTCGCCATCTTGCTGCGCCTTAACTCCTCCAGACCCAGCGCTGCCCCCGCCTCCAGGGGTCTAGGCTCCATCAACCAATCGCCGTCGCTCTTACTCCGACCTCACACCAACGGTTCTTCCCATTGGTCAACGGCGGCGACGCTCTCACGCCTCTTGGCCACTTTCCAGGACTCACTGAAAAGCTGGATCCAGGGAAGGGCGGGATTTGCATAACCTAACGATAGAAAAATTGACCAATTGCACGTCCCCGCTGCACAACCAACCAATGATTGGGGATAGCGCGGATTCTGTTCCACCAATAGGAAAAGCGCAGACGGGACGAAAGGCGGCCACTTCCTGGAGACCACAAGTGTGAGAGCCCTCGCTGTGCCCCAGCCGGACCGGCTTCTGGAGCTCGCAGGTAGGGGCTGTGCGGAACTTGGAAAAGGTTACCGAACGAAGCTGATGGGAGTACTGGGAAGGGCGGCGGCGAATACGAGTTCCCGTGAAGAAAGCCTTAAACGACTTGCGAAAGTGGGACTCTGGGAGGAGCCTGGGCGGACTCGGTACCTGATTTGGGGAATTTGGGGACAGGCAAGAGCAGGTAAAAAATAGGCATTAGAGTTAGCATAAGTTTAAATGCCAAAAGCTCCTCTAGAAGGGTGACGGCTCCATTGCTTGAGGGACTGAGCTCAGGTCCCTTCCTAGATTAATTGAACAACTGGGTAAGTTCTTGCAGCGCCCCACAATTCACAGAAGGGCTGAACCTACTGGCTGATAACCTGCCATGAGGGTGAGAGACAGAATAGACAAGACAAGCCCTAGAAAAAGATGAGGACCAGAGGCGGCTTTACTCTCGGTACCTTATTGGTCCTTTCATAACTGTATAGCTTTCTTATAGAACTCTGGGTGTGGGTGACCTCCTATGATTTCAAGAAAGTAAATTAAAAAATACTCCCGACTGCCCTGATGCTTCGAGTGAGTGTCACAGCCTAAGCTTACTGCTTCATGCTATCACAGAAGCGCAGAGATGGAAGTGAACGAAATAAACCACTGTGTGGGTGGGTGTGCACACTAACGATGGCAGGTATGGAAGTCAGGACAGCTTGTAGGAGTCTGCTTCCACTGTGTGCATCCTGGGGTCCAACTCAGGTCTTTAAACTTGGTGGCAGATGCCTTTTCCAGATTAGCCATTTCAAAGACCCTCTTGCTCTTTTGTTTTGGAGAAATGATCTCACTCTAGCCCAGGATAGCATCAAACTCAAGACAGTCCTCATGGCTCAACCTCCCAAGTAGAGGGATGACAAGCATGAGCCACCACACCCAGCTGCTTCCGTCTTCTCAAGTTTTAACAAAGTCTTCAGTTTTTCCTTTGTTTTTTGTTTTGTTTTGTTTTTGCATGATAGGGAAATTCTTTCATTCCCAAGAGTTCAGGGGATTTTGGCTTTTCAGGAGACAACTGGGGAACAAGCTCAATCAGGGGTTAAGAGGAAATTGAGTTGGACTCCTGCCTGATCCCTCATTGTGGTAGGATGAATGTGGGGGTGGCACACAGCGAAGTGAACCCCAACACTCGAGTGATGAATAGTCGGGGCATCTGGCTGGCCTACATCATCTTGGTAGGACTGCTGCATGTGGTTCTACTCAGCATCCCTTTCTTCAGCATTCCTGTTGTCTGGACCCTGACCAACGTCATCCATAACTTGGTGAGCACTAAACCACACCCTTGTACCCAACCCAGGTCTATCCCAAAACAAAACAAAGTCACCAACTGTTTGGGAATGTATGTCTTCCTTTTGGGATCTTGGCATTGCTCCTGCCCCAACGACTACTTTCCAGCCCTCACACTGCCCCTTTCCCTCCTCCCAGGCAATGTATATCTTCCTGCACACAGTGAAAGGGACGCCCTTTGAGACCCCTGATCAAGGAAAGGCTCGGCTGTTGACACATTGGGAACAGATGGACTATGGACTACAGTTTACCTCCTCCCGAAAGTTCCTCAGCATCTCTCCCATTGTACTGTGAGTCTGGGGTAGAGGAGATGCTGGCTCATCAGTGGCTCTACAAACCAAGGAAAATAAGTGTACTAAGAGTGGGGCTTAGTCAGTCAGGTTCTTCCCACACAAGCATAAGGACTTGAGTTCAATCCCCAGCATATATGTAAAAGCCAAATATGGCCACACACAACCATGGGTGCCTATAATTCCGGAACTGAAGAGCTAGAGGCAGGAAGATCCCCAGGGCTTGCTGACCAGCTAGTCTACCCAAAGTACTGCACTTCAAAGAGACCCCAGCTTAAAAAAAAAAAAAGTGGAAAGCAATCAAAGAAGATTCATGTTGCCCTCTCGTCTCCAAGCACACCGACACATGAACATGTACCTGCACTTACACACACACACACACTACTGTATGTGTATAGGACTAGTACACTAGTCCTAAGCCTACAGAGATTATTATAAAGTAGAACATAGTAGTTAAGCTTTCCTTGCTGGTTCCATGGTAATAAGGAAAAGAAGGAGGGACTGAAAATAAATCAAACTCCTATATGAATCCAAGTGATTTTACTATTTTACAGTCCCAAAAGAAGCAAATAAGTAGCCGGGCGGTGGTGGCACACACCTTTAGTCCCAGCACTTGGGAGGCAGAGACAGGCATATCTCTGTGAGTTCAAGGCCAGCCACCTAGTCTTCAAGAGCTAGTTTCAGGACAACCAGGGCTACTACACAGAGAAAGAAACCTTGTCTCAAAAAACAAACAAACAAAAAACAAATAAAGGCAGAACTGATTAAAAAGTAAAACTGATTTGGGGAAAGGAAACAAAAGGCTCCAAAAGTAATACAGGGCAAAACAGCTTTGGCTGTCGTTTGCAGTTTGTCATTAACAACCAGCAAATGGGCTGGGGTCTTGCTCGGTAGTAGAGCGCTTGCTGCACAAGCACAAGGCCCTGGGTTTGGGCCTCAGCTTGGGGGGCGGGGGGTGACAACAATTAGCAAACAAACCGAGGTATAGTCTCTAGTTACAGATACCTTCTGATCCTATCCTAAACCTCATTTAAATACTGTTAATTTAGCTGGAGTAGTTTTGGACTACAAAGACTATGCAGTAAAACTAGTGATTGAAAACAGAAAAGATGATCACTAGAAAGTCATGAATGTGGGTATGGAAAGCCAACGTTTGTCACCCTGGTTTTTTTCTCCCTAGCTACCTACTGGCCAGCTTCTACACCAAGTATGATGCTGCTCATTTCCTCATCAACACTGCCTCGCTGCTCAGCGTACTGCTGCCTAAGCTACCCCAATTCCATGGGGTTCGTCTCTTTGGAATCAACAAATACTGAAAGATGAGTTGACAGTTGTGCAGGCACTGGAACAAAGAGATAAAATGGCTTTCCCTTCTCGGTGCTCTTCTGTATCTTGGAAGTCTGGGAGACAAGATAAACCTTTCTGAACTCCAAGAAGGAAGAAATTGGAAACTGGGGTTCCTGAGCCCAGCCTTAATAGGGTCAAGATTGTCTGAATCAGGAAAGGTGGATGAGGTGAAGGGCCACACCACTCTCCTCTGTACAGCAAGAAGCCATCTACACTTGGGCAGCTTGTCTGATGATTCTGTTTCCATGTCTCCCAAACCTACCACCTTCAAGTTCTGTTTTGCTGTATATTTTCCTTAAAATAAAGTCTTTTCAGTTATGACTGAAATTTGATAAGCCAGAAGAATAGAGAGATGTTCTCAATGCTGGAGAGGAAATGTAGAATCCTGACTTACTATAAAAGATTTAAGCAAATTTTTATCACTACTCCTTTGATCCAATACAGGGTAGCCTTCACTCTCAGGTAACAACAAGGAAAGAATTCTCAAATAAGAAAAAAGTGCTCCTGAGCTAGGTGTGGTAGCACGCACCTATAATCCCAGCCCTCAGGAGGCAGAGACAGAAGAATCACTGCAAGCTGGAGGCCAGCCTGGTCTACACATAGTAAGACTCAGTCTCCAAAGAAAACAGAAAAGAACTCACAACTACATGAGCAAAGAAAAGAAGGAAGATATAAGTTGCCAGTTATATTATTTATAGAAAGATAATCCCCTGGCTTTAAATAGATATGTACATACAAATATGAACAAACTTAAAAAAATACAAACCCTTGGCTCACAAGGGGCCCTCTGGGAACCCCTCCATTCTTCCCCCTCACCCAAGGGCACAGGGCATAAGTCTGCTTTTTAAAAATTAATTAATTTTGGCCATCCTTGCAAAAAACAAGCCTGAAGTTAGGTGGTGTCCCATAAAGCGAAAGTCAGAGGAAAAATTCAGTTTCCACTCTGAATTCTGTATCTCCAAAATTAGGACTACATGCTTTTTCTCTTAGCTAGTACATCAGAGTAAAGGGGGAGGAACCCCTGAAATGGGTTAAGAAATAAGATACACTCATTTAAAAAGGGGTGTGTTTCATTTGCTCTGAGAGCAAATAATAAAGGCATACAGAGCCCAGAGAAGTCACCAGTTCCCACACCTTAGGAACGCACTAACTGGACTAGGTCCAGCGCTGACTGGACTAGGTCCGACCCTAAGTTCTTTGCTCTGGCCACCTCCTATTTCTTTGGTATTGTCAAAAGACAAGATTCAGTTCCTAGGTGTTGGAGAAGAGGGAGACTAGGTCAAAAATTTAAATTTTTCCCTTTTTAAAGTATTTAAAAAATAAACAAATTCCATCCTGTGCTGTACACAGCCCTTTTGACTCCCTGACATGGATTTGAAGAAGGAAGAGAAGGGTGTCAACGTTGGAAGGGCCGCCTCACTTTCTTCCGCCGTTTAGGTTTGGCTTCTCCCTTGGGTACTGTACTGTTGGGCTTGGAGGTCGAAGTGGCCCCAGGGCCAGGCTGAGGCGCAGCAAAGAAGTTCCCATTGGACATCTGCCCTGGGGGTACTTGAAAGATCCGGCTCAAGAAATCCTGCAGGTCAGCAGGAGGGGCCTCTGGAGTGGCCCTGAGGGAGAAAAGATAAAATGAGGCAGGAGCCATAACAGCTACCAAAATTAACTACACTGGGTCAGTTCCCAAACCTAGAGAGCTAGGCTTCTGAAACCATACAAATGAAATAGTGGTTAAATGAGAGAAGCATCACCAACCTCTGCCGACCACTGGTACC